GCGACACATAATTTGCTCGGGGTATTGGCAATAATAAATTCCGCCGCCTAAACAATAGGATTCTCTAGCCTCCATTCTTCCCTCCATCACGCTTGTATGTCTGTGCATTTTCATTTCACTACTACAACAATCTAATTAGCTACGACCCCATCGTCTACAATTCGCCCCAACAGCTCTGGCAACAGCAGCCGCATCAGCATCGGTAACGACCAGGGCAACCAATCATGCCGCCTGGTAAACATTCATCCAATTGCCCCAAATTGCTAATTATGGCCGACCATCATATAAGCACTTAACACCTTAAAAACATAATAAAACGTAATTTATCGTTTTAACGTCATTAAGTCTGCCATCCATGTTGGTCGAAGTTGACAAGTTGGAGTGCGCATGTTCCATAATACCAGACTCCATTTGTTATACATACCACAGCATCATGCCTCCACAACACACACACACATTTTGAGAGGGGACAAAAGGAGAGGGACTTCCTCTGTCATTACAACCATGACTCCAGTGATGTCCCCATCATAGTGTAGCTTTGTTTATGTATTAAAGGACATATATGTGTGCGTATTTGTGTGTTCTGCTTTGTAGTGGTATTGGAGTATTAAGTGTACGTTTGGGGTTTATGTTTTCTGTGGTAGTTTACAAAACAAACTTATTAGTAAATGCAGAGACATTGACTATAATTTCCTTCATCCCAACCCCCCTTTCCCACCACTTGGAGCTACCCTTACCATCGTTTGGCCTTTGTTTTGTTTGATTATGATACCATGTCATAATTAACTAACTTCTCAATTAATGTGAAATTAACAAAATATTCGTCGGACCGACTTTATTAGGGTAGAACGAAATGTGTTTTAAATTGAAGAATAATATCACACATTGAAAATTTTCAAGGAATCCAGGTTTAAGAAGAAGTCTGGATTTTTTAACAATATTTTTTCTAGGACTGTTATCCCAATAAACGTGATTTTTTGTAAGAATACTTTTTCAAGGATACAAGATCCAATAATCGTGATTGGTTTAGGAATATATTTTACAAAAGCATAAGGTGCATTCATTTTAGTGCGAGGATTTTATAAATAATATTTTCTAGAGTCCAATAAGGCGTGGATTTTTAAAATACTACTTTTCTAGAGGCCAATAAGGCCAGGATTTTTAAAATACTAATTTTCTAATAAGGCGTGAATTTAAAAAAATCGAGAGCCTGGAATTTAAAAATACTAATTTGTTAGAGGCCAATAAGGCCAGGATTTTTAAAATAATACTTTTCTAGAGGCCAATAAGGCCAGGATTTTTAAAATAATACTTTTCTAGAGGCCAATAAGGCCAGGATTTTTAAAATACGGAAAATTCTGGATGGTACAGTAGATTTGTTTTTTCTGCATAACTTCGGAGAAATCAAAAAACGAACAAGAGAAGACGAACCATTGTGCGCCAAAGTGTAATTGATGTGTTATTCGCCGAACATAACATGGCGCCTCTTTATATTTCCGAACTTAAAAAAAAACAATGAGCGGAGCAGTATAGTGGGACGGGGCCGACCATACGATACCTTCTAACTTTCTGCGGATTTTTATGACGAGCCTGGGCAATATTTCGTGATAGTTGCACGCTCTTGCCCGATTAGAGGTCAACAGCACTACATTCTTACACTGACATATTTTCCGAATATTACCAATATTCAGTACAGCCCTTCTAATTACTTGTCCATATTCCCTTCACCGTGGGTTGATGTTCGGCTTATTATTGTAGCCGAAAAAAACACAAAAAATTAAGTTTTCGTCCCACTTCATCCTAAAATTATTATCTGATTATCAGCGAAAATTATACGCCTTGTCCTTGACCATAACTGCGCCATCAGCTCTATATTTCCGCCCTCTAGTGTGGTAATGATTTATTAAATAATATCTGAATACGTAAGCACCTGTAAATATTTACGTGTAGCTCTCACGTCTGAGTATATACGACAATATAAATTAAAGGCCTGTCACTCCTCTTTGATATACTATCAACTTTTCGGGTCTATGTCCTTCAGGAATAAATAAATACGCTATAGAATACAATTTTTGTAATTTTTCACACAACAAATCTTCCCTGTAAAAATTCGCAATGTTTGGGCGATAATTGCGGCCTCTGGAACGAAATTTAGTATTTGGTCCATTTCATCCCCTAAATATTAACCGATCTTTAACAAAAACAATAAGGGTCTTCATTGGGCAGAACCCATCTTACATGCAAAATTTCGTGATAGACAGACGGACGGACGGACACACATGTTTAGATCGACTCAGGTAGTCGAGATATGACGGTCGGTATACTTAAAGGTGGATCTAGGGCCAAGATTTGGCGGCGTTACAAACCCTTGGGGCTGCACAAAGATATTATACACCGACAACATAGTTGTGTAAATATATTATGGGGCTGTATTTAAAAAAAAAAACAAATTTGTAATAAAAATCACTATATTGCAGCCTATAGCGGGATATAAATGTTGAATATGAAGAATACATTTAAGTAAACATCGAAGTCCTCTTTTGTTACCCCTATTTAGGTTGAAATTTACATTTCACAATTTAAATCAACTACCGAAACAAGGATGGATATTTCAAAAAAATGCAACTGCTGTTACAATTAGAATTATCGGCAATATTAAATTTAATTTTTGTGATATGAGATGGTCATTTTCATTTGGCGTTTAAAAAATTGCAATCAATTTTCTTAAATGAATTATTTTAAATTTTTCCAAAAAAAAAATTTTAAATAAAAAATAATTTTTTTATTTTTCAGAATGTTTGTGCAGTTCATCGTAGGACAATAACCTAACAGGTAAGAATTAACCTCAATTTTTGCCCTTAAAATTTTTTCCACAAAATGTTCCCATTGATAAAAATCATTTAAAGTTCATAAACACACCATGAATTTTACAGAGATCACCCCATAAACTCCTACAACAATTACAAAAATGCTTCGCGAATAAACTTTTACTAACTGTTCGCACTTTACGCTATGAAAAGAGCAGGTCGCGCAACCAACAAGCCAGTCAAACAAATTGCAAACAACCCACATGCCTGCAAAACAACACACACTCACACACAATTGTTATTTTCGGTATGGTTTATTATGAAAGTTCAGTGTGGCGTATACTTAACGCCAATTTATGGATTTGTCCGCAACCGGGAACAACGACCTCAATTTGGGTAGGTGTATGACCGTGTATGTGTGGCTGTGTGTGTTTGAAACAACTTGTATGTGCCGTTTCCTAGAATAAGTTTACCCACACCATGTGTGTGTGTTGATTTAAACCAAGCCATTGATGAAGTTAATTGTGTTTTATTAACACAAACAATGGCGTTAACATCATGTTCCCCGAAAGCTAAAAACCAGCAGCTGAAAAGCTGATGACGTTGTTTGGCGGATACTTTTGTGATGTGGATGCGGATGATGACGATGGCGATGATGTTGAAAACAACAACAATTCGTGTTGAGCGGTTGTTGTTGTTTTTGCCTCTCCTATAATTTTACATAATTGGCACTTTGTGATAAACATCCCATTCATAAAATTGAGGGGAGAGCAAATTTTCTCTGTGTGAGTTATGAGGAGGAGGATGGTGATGATGTGGAGAGTGTGAAGATGAATTCTTAACAACAAAGACGGAGAAATTTCCTTTTGGGGGTAGTTAACAACAAATTGAAGCAGCCTTATAATGACATAAGTTTTAATTACATCATTAAATTTTTAAAATGCCAACCAATTTTTGGGAAATGAGAAAATTCTGATAAGAATGAAAGCATCGAAATCGAAATTTTATTAAAAAAGTTGGGAAATAAATTTTTTGATTGTTTGTTTGGGAATTTCAATTGCAGATAATATGTGTGTGTGTGTGATCTATGCAGGTTAGAGGTAGGTGAACTTTTTAATTAGGGTTCCAAATATTTTATGTCCCAAAATTATGATATTTAGGAAGGAAAATGGAGGTTTGTTTCTTCTCTGAAAAAAAAATTTATTTTAATACAAATATTATTTCTAGTATTACTTTGGTTTGAGGATGGGTATTTGGAATTTTTTCCCAAAAAATTGTTAATTTGAAGAACAGCTTTTTTACAATATTCTAATCATTTATTTTTCACAAATACCAAAATCAAATAATTCATCAAATCCGTAACTACATACATAGTTGTTTTATGTGAGTTATTTTAATTATTACAAAATTCCAATATTTAGGTTTGAGTTGAGACTAACACTTTTCCAAAAAACATGGCGGAATACTGCTGCCTTCCCATATTGCTGTGTAAAAGTTTTCAATTTGATTGAATGTATTTGTATTTCATATGTTTGGGCATTCATGCAAATATACCAAAAGTACATACCGGCACACACACATTTGTGCATTCACATATTGAAATACACATCTATGCATAGTAACGTTTAAAGCAAATAGAATTTTGATTGAAATATTCGTATATATATTTTTTTTACCAAATTTCTATATTCCACTTGGAGAAAGAAACAGCAGCAGCAACAAAAAAACGACTCATTGAATATCGTCCATCCATACATCCGTCCATCGATCCATTCGCCCACACTCACTCGCACAAATAACAACAAATACATACATGTAGTTGTATATTAGAATTTTTACAAATCTTGTGTTTTTTTTTTTTGGACAAATCGCCAGGCACATATACACACACCCACACATTCGCATATCGAAAAAATATTTTAATTGATTTTTGCAGGCACACAGGAATTTGTTCTGCTTTTGTACAAGGACTTACAAAAAAACAACAGCATCACTTCGCATAGAATACAAATTCAATTTCAATATCAGTCAGGTGAAAATGGGGATTATAAATATTTTTTAAAGCTCCCACTTCAAAAGCACTTTCTTTGAATACAAAATTTTTGTTTTTTTTTATATTTTTGTCTTTATCTCTATGTTGTCTCTCTGTATTTTTTTCATTATTATTATTATTACTAATTATTATCTACTTACCCGACATATCTTCACTATGCTCATCATCATGCATTTCCTCATCTCGATCATAGTTACTGCTACCACTACAACTCCATTGTCTTTGATTGGCATAGTGTTGCTGTTGTTGTTGCATTTTTCCTGTAAATTTTGTTGGATCCAAAATATTTTCTACGGAAAATGCTAAACGTTTTGTTGTCTCTTTTTCGCTGGTTGTTGTTGTCGTTTGTCCGGAGGTGGTCGATGTCGGTGAATTAGTGGTTGAGTTAACATGGCCATTCGGTACCGAACGGGTTAAATCAACGGGACAGACCTGAAGAAAAATTATATTAATGAGAAATATTCAGTAGTGTTTGGCGGGTTATTTGGGATACCATTTGTATTTTGTTTTTGCAAAATAGTCAGGCTTAATCCCAGTTTGTTGTTTTTAGATTTTGCCCATTTTTCTCACAAGATGACGTTTTAGAAGGGTCCTTACACCCTTCTAAAGGACCCTGTAAGGACCCTTCTAAAACGTCATCTTGTGGGAAAAATGGGTAAAAACTAGTAATAAGTACGATATTAACCTTAAAATTAGTTTTTGTTTTTTTTAAATGAAATCCTAAAATGCAAGGATTTCATGAAATCATAATTTGAAAATTATAAAAATTCTAGAAAATGAGGAATATTGTCCCCCCTTTTAGGTTACCTCCCGACGTAAACTTTCAAAACGCCGATACACGTGTCTTCTTTTTTTAGCCGCTCTGTCATAATATGTTGGAATTTCCCGGTAATTATCAAAAAAATTCAAATTTGTCGCACAGTGTTATTATAGGGCCTAGTAATTGAAATTAAAAATCGAAATTGAATGAAAATGGAAAAATGTTTCCTGTGCGAGAAAATATAAACTATAGGGGGCTTTTGAAGGGTATCTTCGTATTTACATGAAATATTGCAATGCTCTCAGCATTTAAGAGAGACTAGAAATTAGATTTCTGTTTAAACCCTCAAAAAACTCTCAAGGACTCCAGATAGATATTTTAGACAAAAATATTCCTTATATATTTGAATAAATTCAACATATTCGCATTATATTGACCTTAAAAGACTTTTTACTGTTCTATTCTCCAAGAAATGACCTTTGCTCCGTTATTGTCTGTATAATATATTTTTTCTTTCTATTTACGATAGAAAACCTTTTTGTCTTCTTCTGTTCACAAAATAAGCCTACTGGTCATAATATTCACAATAGGAGCCCCCTGGTTCTTCCGCTGATTACACGGTGACTAGTGGAATTTTGGGGTAAATTTTTCTATGGGGATTAAAGCCTTTGCCAATAATCCTCATTCAATTTTGCTGAAGACATGCCAAATAAACTTAATAGTCCCAAAATATAGATTTACAAAAAAACAAAAAAAAAAAATGCATCATGCAAAAAATTAAATACAATTCTATGGCGATTTAGCCATGTCTGTCTGTTGAAATCACGATGAATTTCGCAATCTTTTAGGTAGAACTTTGAAATTGTGTATAGCACGTTTTTATATAGCCCTAGCAAATTTCTCCCACAAAAATTACAAATATTGCTCCAATTTTTTGGAAAGCCACCACCTAATGGTTCTCCTAAATTTCGATATTTTGGAGATTTTGCAACCGGGCTGTCAACCAATTTAGCTATAATTTACTATTTTGGGATGCTAGTTTGGTAAGAAATCTTTTAACCTAAAGTGATGATTATTGATCAAAGTTTCGGGGTAGGATCTATATAACGCCTCCTCCCTTTATTCAATATTTTACTACAAACTTGGATATAATTTGATACTTTATTTTTTTTTTTTTTTTTGGCTGTCAAATCTTCCTACTAAAAATATACCATAGCATAGTCCACATATAAAAGTCCAGATAGATTTTTATGTATTTGAATATCCACCTCAAAATGTCGGCCGATAACGATTTTATAACTTGTCTAGTTTTTTTTTTTATTTTCAAGGTTGGGAAATATTAGGATGTCACATTACACGCATGAGAAGCTTACAATTTGTGCCCCGAATGGGCCGAACTCAATATTGAATACAAATAAATTCACGAAATCGCATATTGGCTACAGTTTGATATTTTAGGTTGGGTCATTGGGTTTCAAATCTACCAACAATTTACCATGGGATCCACTTCTTGGTGGAGGGTATAAAAGTTCATTGGGAAATATTAGAATGCATTATTTTTTGAATTATTCACAATTTGTGTTCAATATATCCGATGAATGAGTCGATATAGATATTCAAACATCATTGAACCTTATAAATATTAAATGTTGACCTTAGTGAGAATTGAATTCGAATTTCATGAAAATGAGTTTATTTATAACCACAGTTTAAATATGACACATTTTGGACATATATTATTTAACCTGCGATTGAATATATAATTTCGCAAAGTGTAAGTTTTCCTTGAAATCTGAAGGTTGAATTATTGTTCTCTATAAAATCAATTACCTCCACCATAAGAAGAATCGAAAAAGTATAAAAATTCAGATGGTATCATTACGGATATTTCTGAAATGGCCTAATTCCGCTAATGAATATATGTAGCTAGTTTCGTTAAGAGCTTATATATTCAGAGTCCGTAGGCAGGATCTTCATATGGGGCTATGTCAAATCTTGATCTATATTCAAAATGATCAAAAATGAAGCATTTTACCCTCAAAGAACTTGGAATGTGAAATTACATACATATCCGCCAGACAACCTTAGAAATACGGAAAATTTTGCGGTGCTGGTCCACAACATGGGCCAATTTTTATTTTTCCTAAAACCGGTGGAGCTTTTGTATTACAAAATTTTCGATTGATTTCAGACATACTTTAAAATCTTCAAATTTCGGTTACATTAAATTTCCGAACGGGCTCCCTTTAAAATGAACACAGTCGAAAGTGTACACAGAAAAATTTTAAAGCCTAAATATGTCCCCTTGGAACCTAACATATCTTAAATACGTTGAACGTGTTTGAAGATTACATGGGCTGAAAGTTTGGAAATAAATATGCGGCAGATATCTTTGGTAAAATTCATTCACAAAAACAAAAATAAAAAATATACCAATAAAAAACGATTTCTGCATCTACTTCCACGTTAACAGTGGAGTGCTTCTAATTTTAAACGGCATTGTCCTGTAAATGTTAACGAGTTACATAGTCGATTCCATTTACCTCAAATCTATTGTATATATCAAATATATCCACTTAAATAAAAATTAAAATAATTATCTTTCTACTTACCGACGGTGGACCTTGTGATCCCTCATCGTTGCTTTCCTCATCATTGCCATCGACATTCAACTCTTCACTTGTATCACTTCGTGCATAATTTGCGGCGGCAATTTGCCTCGATGTAGCGGCCGCTGCTGCTGCAGCTGCGGCCAAGCCACCCAATTGTATTCTAAAACCATAATCACTTAAATCCGGACGATTTGCGGCGCTAACAGCTTGACCAGCAGAACGGGCAGCCACTGCTGCTTGGGCTTGGGCAACCAATTTCAACTTTTCCAAATCCATATCATGATGTGAATGCTGCTGCTGTTGGAGCTGATGATGAAGATGGTGAGGATGCTGTTGATGTGAACTGGAACTGGACGAGCTTGATGATATTGTGGTCGAAGATGATGAGGGACTTAAAGATAAATGTACTGATGATGATACGGCTGGTATTTGACCCGTCTGTGATGAGGGTTGCAGAGAAATTGTTGACAGTTGGGGATTAGTGTGGGGTAAAGGGACGTTGGTTGTGGCAGAAGAGGAAGAAGAAGTTGTTGATGTTGTAGGTGTTAGAGTTAAAGGCATTTGTAGTCCATTTGTTGATTGCTGTTGTTGTTCGGAATGTGGTGGCGAATTGGGTGGTGAGAGAGGAGAATGGGCCGGTGATGGGGCATGTGTGTGTCCTGGCAAACTGAGAGTCGATGTGGCGGTTGGTGGTAGTGGCGGACCTCTCAAATGGAATGCCGTGGCTGCCACTGCTGCAGCCGTCGGAAGATGAGCATGAAATACTGGATGTCCAGGATGATGATGATGCGGGTGACCATGACCATGTTGGGCATGATGAGCTGCAGCTGCCAAAAATTGGGGATTTTGCAACAAATGTGGATGTTGTTGCAGTAGAGCAGCATGGGGATGCTGCAATGGTTCCGGTCGTGCCAATTGGCGTACCGAATTTAATTCCATCAGTTTCCGGGGTGGTGTTGCCGAAATAAATTGCAATTGTTGTGGTTGATGTTGTTGTTGCTGCTGCTGTTGAGTTCCAGCCGATGGAGGTGTTTGCGAACGCCTGTGATTTTCATGACCATTTTGTTCCGTTTCGGTTTCATCATTTTTGGGCGATGCAGAACGTCTTTGTTCGGTCATTTGTTTTAGCTTTTCCATGGAGTAACGTAAACTTTCTTCGTTGTTTTTCATGTTGTTGTTGTTATTTGCATTATTATTATTGTTGTTGTTATTATTATTATTATTTTGATTCACAGCCTGTTGATTATTTTGCGGGGTTATGATAAATTTCGGTATTTTGCCCGTTGGTGAGGGTAATCCCGATGATGGTGTGGTTGGTGTTGACATGTTGTTATCACCGGCGGCAACGGTGGCTGTTGATTTTGTTGTCACTTCGGGTGATGTATTCGATTTTGGGGAATCCGGCTGTGAGTTGGGACTCATTTGAGAGCTGTTGATGGCCGTTTGTTGTGCGGCGGTATCCGTGGGTTTTGTAGGTGATTGTAACATCACCATATTGGCAATGAGGGGTTTGTTAAGCAAAGTTTTTTGTTAAGATTTTTCAAACACCAAATTCGGATTTATTTTTTTAATTTTGGAAGTTTTCACAGTTATTTTTATGTTTCTGATTTTTTTTTATAAATTCCAGTCCTTTGTAATTTTTGATATTTTTCAATTTTTTTTCTTTTTCCAATCACTTTTTAAAAATAAATTCCATTTGGTTCTTGTTTTTATTTTTCACGTTGGTTTTAAAGATTTATTTTTTTGGCACCCGTTATGAATTTTATTTTGTTTTTGCCGTTCCGATTGTTGTGTTGTCACTTCAAAGTCAACCAATCGACTGTTTACACCATGAACATCCGTTTGCGGATAACTGCTGCGGTGATAATCCTGTTTAAAACTAATCTTCAACTAGGGGTTGTTTGCAATGCCTTGGCCCATTTGAAACCTACTCAGATTTCAAATTGAGAGTCAAAACCCCAAACAATAAGAAATGAAAATCCAATTTGAAAATCAACAACACTCTCTTGTGACACACGACCAAACACTGTCAGAGCATCCACCACAAGTGCAACAGACAAGTTGGGCACACAACAACAGATGCTTCACACAACACAACTGCTCAGCACCACAGCATCCCTTTTTGAGTGTTTTCAAAACCCTCTCTCTCTCTCGCAAAATTTTGGGGGTGAGTTTTTCCTTAGCTTACTCATAGTTCTGCCCGCCCCTAACTCTCACTCTTGTGTGTGCGTATTGCTCTCTCTCTCTCTCTCTCTCTTGTTTTCTTGCTCCCAAATAAAAATGGTTGGTGTGGCTCCTCCCTTATGTGGCTACCAGAATGAGTGGTTTCCCTTGTGTTGTGATATCTGAGTGTATGTATGTGTGTGTAAAACACCAAAAACAAAATAACCCAAACGATTTAATCTTCCAGCTCCATTAGCTTTTTCAGCTGCTTGTTTTTGTTTGTGGTTAGAACCACTTTTTTCGGCTTGTAATAAAATCCTTAGCACTCCATTTCCTTTTAAACGTTCTCGTTAGCCAGCCACCTCTGGCTTCAGCATATCCCCACCCTTGCTCCACTCCTACCACCTTCTTCTTCTCTTTTTTATTCTCCAGTTTATTTTTCTTTGTATTTTTCATACAAAAACAACAACAGAGAAAAATCCCTTCAACGTTACTTACACTTTATCTTAAAAGGATCTATAACACAATCTAAATGATTTAATTTTTCTCCGCACCCACACTCCCCTCTTTACGGTAGGGTTCTCTGATGCAAAATGGTATCCGATAAGAAAAAAGGTCGTTCATTTCTCCTACAATACCAATCATGCCAAAGTATTACAACACCACAAATAATTTTTCTTCTTTATTTTTTTTTTGCTTTTTCTTCTTTTTTGTTGTTGTTATTATCCTGAATTGTTCGCCCGCCGCCTCCCCAGAGAGAATGTGAGTAATTGTCAAATTATTTAGCGCAAAATTTGTTTGTTTATACGCTTGGTTGAATCGAAAATGAAAATTGCTTCATTTCATTCTTTACTTACTGGCAATGTCTCAACAACAGCAACAAACTGAGAGCTTTCAGTTCTCCTCCCCCCACCAACACATATTTTGCAAGGGGGATATTCATACGTGGTGTGCGTAGATCAGGCACGGGCAGAGCGTAAAAAATTCTGTTCTCACGCACATGTCTTTGTGTGTGTGTCAATGGTTTTTCAATTGGTTCAGTTGAATGTGTGTGAGAGAATAGTGATATTTACTCTCGCGAGAGTGCACGCGTGCGGTGGTTCGCCCGACTGTGGCGTAGATACTATTTGTTTGGTCATGTCCTTAATAGTTCGTTTGTTATTAGTCATATATGCATCAATGCATTTCTATGTGTAGGTAGATGACTGGCTGGCTGACTGGCTTTCTTCCACACATCCATACCCCAACAACATCCACAAGCGTTGTTGTTCTATGTTTTCTGTTTCATCTAATTTTCTCTTAATGAATGATATAGCGTATGCGATGGTGTGTGTATGTAGGTGTATCGGTGTGTGATTTACTAACATGTCGCATAGTGTATGTTAATTAATTATTGTGCAATTTATTTTTTGTATTATTTTTTTCGAATGGATGTTGATGATTTTTAGTTCTTTTTATTGTTGTAGTGTGTGGGGTTTTGTCGTTGCCGCTTGCTTGTGCAGGGCCATTTGCATTTGTTTGCTAATTAGATGCCATTAAAATGTTCTGCTTTCATTGGACTCAACTAGCTGTGGCCGCATGCATTCATTCTATGAATTATGTTGAACGCTGCCTGTCAATATGGGGAGTGTTTTATGTAGTTTGGTTGACTATTTTTGTATTCTTAGGAAATTTATTTGAATTAAAAAATAAAAAATACGTTTTTATACTTTTTTACGAATTTTGAATAAAATAATATTGAATTTCATTTTGATCAGAATAAATCATACAGTTTTTGATTAGAATAAATTCGCAGTGCATAGAGTGCTCTACGCATCTTTTATGTCCAATAAAGGTATTAGATTTATAAAGTCTATGCCCTATTTTCAGAACTAGACCTGTGTAAAGACCCAGAATTTCAGAATCGCTGATTGGATTACATTTATACCCACACTTTGAAAAAATAAAACGAATTATTTTTTTTCAAAATATATGTCTTTTGTTGTAATTTTACTATCATTCCCCTACTATATCTATATTCATCTATTTTTTACTCACTGAGAGAACGAAATACCAAATCACACCTATTTTCTTGGGAAATGAAGACCAATTTTTGTTCGAGAACACTATTGACCAATATTTGTCACTAAGTCTGCGTATGGTCTCGGGGTGGAGGATTTCTTATGGAGGCGAAATCTCATTGGCGATAATTTTAATTTTAAGTTATGATGCGATGATTTTTCTTGCTGGTAATGTTATTTTGTAAATATTTTTGAGATGACATGCCTTTAGTCAAATTTTTTGTAAAATATATCCTTCTTCTATCTCTGGTGCTTGCGTGTATTTTCAGAACTAATATTTTGACTTCTTTACATCCACATGTTCTAACAAAAAAGGATTTCAGATTTCAAAAATAAAAATCGATGTTCGTACGTTTTCGTAGACCAGGACCATCCCCCCCCTTTGCGTACGTCCCTGGTTCTTTATATACTTTCATCACAAATGAAATATATAACAATTGACAATTATTCACAAATGTCTTATTCATTTTAGGTATTTACAGGCCTTAGCCTAAAGTCTTTGCTTTCTTTTACATCCCAAAAAATGGTCACAATTTTTCGGAAAAAAAAGAAATTAAAGTAGCAAACAAACGGTGTATTATATTTAATCGAAACTTTGCACTATTCTATATTTTACCAAAATTATATAATACCCTATTGGGAATGGAGGTCCATTCCTTCTGATACCTCTCTATTATAGGTTAACATTTTGAAAAATTATAAATTTCATAAGTAGGTAATTGAGAATCATATTAAACCCAATCTTTGCACGTAATATTTATACCCTACACAAAAACTCGAAGAGTATTTTAAATTAGTCATTCCGTTTGCAACAACTAGAAATATTCACCAGAGATCCAATAAAGTACATATTCTGGATCAAACTTAAAATTAGCCTGTATAGTTTTTATCCGTCCATATGTTGAAATCTCGAATGAGCTCACCATATTGAAGATAGATATTTGACATTTTGAACATATATTGGCACAACCTCTGGGATGATTTGTATAAAAAATAGAATATATCGCTTCATTTCTTTCACTGAATCTAGTATTTTGAGACTTTAGGCCACGTTTTTGAAGTGAATTGGATCCAAATATATTCTCAATGGGTTGTCAAATCTTCCTATCAATATTTTTATCTATATATCTACATTTTCCACTGAAGTTGTTGTAATTTAGAAATATGGTCCTTTGGAGAGAAAAATATCTATTTAAACAATTTTCGATATTAGTTTATATAGTCCCCATAGAAAGGTCCTCATTAATGTTTAAACCGAATTTTCTCATCAAAGTGGCTATAATTTGGAGGCTATATTTTTACATATTTATAATTTGTATTATAATTTGTATTTTTTAGGTACTCATTTTCCTGCGGAAAACTATGCCGTAAGTAATTATTTTTCCTATTATTAAAAAAAATATTTTTATTCATTTCGTGGTTTCAGAAGTAACCTTTATAAACTACATAAAATATTTTTAATGATATAATTTTTATCATTTACCATTAAAATGGGCCGTCAATGGATTCAAATCGCATGATCTTGATAGCCAATAAATACCCCACGACTCGAATTACGCGAATAGCTGGATTCGCTCGAGTTGTGTGACATGTGGCATCATCTTGTTGAAACCACATATTTTCTAAGTCGTATTCTTCAAAAGCAGGAAAAAATTGGTTACCGCATTGAATTGAAGGTTAATGCGTTTCAAAGTCGTTTTCGAAGACATAAGGTCCAATCAAACCTTCGGATCACAGAGCGCACCAAACAGTGTCTTTTTCTGGATGTAAGGGCCTTGCTTCAATTTTCTTTATTTTCTTTAGTATTCGTAGTTGGGCCATTATGTATGTGGCTGATGCAGAATCAACATTTTTTGTTGTATGTCTTTATAATTTGTATGCCCTGTTCCAAATGTACACAGTTTAAAACCATTTTATTCGTACTCTTAATGTATGCATTTTCACAGCCGTCCCTCTATTTAGTACATATTTGAACTTTTGAAAACCTGATGAAAATTAATTTTATAATATAATGCGAACTGACTATCCGATTTCAACTAAACTCTGCAAAACCTAATATTTTATCAAAGCCTGTATAATGTTGGAAGATGGGAGTCATTAGTCCACTCCTTCTAGTATCTCCCCTACAAAGGGTCAATAATTCGAAAACTTGTAAATCTCATATGAAGCGAACGCAATAGGCAATTTCATCCAAACTTTGCTCAACGCAATATTTTTACCAATCCTATCGGTCCTCTTCTTCTGGTACCTCTCACAGAAAGTGTCAACATA